AAGACCCGCTTGAGTATTTCAGTTTTGCAGAGTTTGCGGAAAGCCAGGAGAGTGGGAGCCCTCTGGACCTCCTCAGGCACTGTGGGGGCCACCACGGGAAAGGCACATCTGCGGGCAGTTGCTGATTTTGAAGCTGGGAACGCTTCTTGCTCCTCCTGCTTTGCTCACAGTCAAGTGCTTTGGCATTCCTTAACAGATTCTCTCTCTTTTTTGTTTTTGCTTTTGAATTTCTGTTATGTACATGTGTGCGCATGCGTGCGTGTGCGCATGTGTGTGTGTATGCACACCTGAAAATCCTGGTGACCTCTGGTGACTGACTGTGTGTGCACCTGGAAGTCATGGCGATCGCTGGTGAGTGACCCCCCTACTGGGGGGCTGGAGGATATTCAGAGAGGTGGCTGAGTGAAGCCTGCCCCCGACTGCTGGTATTCCAAGGAGGTCTCCCATTCAAGTCCTTGCTTAGCTTCCGCGATCTGATGAGATTGGGCTTGCCTGGGCTATCCAGGTCAGGGCACCTGAGCGGGTTCTTAATCTGTCCTTTTTCCCAGCAGGAGGGGAAAGGCTCTGTTTGCGGCAACTGTGACTCTTTGCTGCCTGCAAAAATGTTAATGACAAAATAACATAATTATAAAATGATGATGATTTAAGAAAAAAATGAGCACACAAAAAAAAGAAGGGCAGTTTCCCTCCCTCTCCCCACCTTGGAAAAGGAAACTATGGCCCCTGCGACACGGCAGGAAAAAACACGGCCAAAGTGCGGCTTTTTAGAGCCGCACCAAAAGAGACACACGGCGGCGGGATCACACAGATCCCCTGAGCCGCCGCGCAGTTGCTCCCCGGCACGATCAGATGCCGGGGAAGAAGCCATCGATGGGAGACCGAGGCAGCCGGCTGTGCGTGTGTGCGCATGCGGAGTTTGGCCAGGAGCCTCGAATGCTCCCGACAACGGACGCGCCGGCGATCCCACGGCCGCGCTTGCTGCGATGTTTCAGGTAAGTCCTTCTCTTTACTTGGGTTT